AACTGAGGTCGTTGTAATCGGCCCTAAACATCTTAGAGAATCACTGTCTGAACAGATAGTTACCTTGGATGGTGTCAGCTTGGCCTCCAGCTCAACTGTGAGGAACCTTTGAGTTATGTTCGACCAGGACATGTCATTTGACCCACACATAAAACAGGTCTCTAGGACAGCTTTCTTCTATCTGCACAATATTCACAAAATTAGAAACATCCTGTCTCAGAAGGATGCTGAAAAACTAGTCCACGCATTCGTTACCTCTAGATTAGATTAATGTAATTCCTTATTATCAGGATGCCCCTGGAAATCGGTAAAAAGTCTCCAGTTGGTCCAAAATACCACAGTGCTGACAGGAACTAGAGGGAGAGATCATATTACTCCTGTCTTAGCTTCTCTACATTGGCTCCCTGTAAAATACAGAATAGATTTCAAAATCCTGCTCCTCACATTCAAAGCCCTTAACAATCAAGCCCCTTCACATATCAAAGACCTGATAACACCATATTATCCAAATAGATCACTTTGTTCACAAAACACAGGCTCTCTTGTGGTTCCAAGAGTCTGTAAGAGAAGAACAGGAGGTGAGCATTCAGCTAGCAGGCTCCTCTCCTGTGGAACCAGCTCCGACTCTGGGTTCAGGAGGCAGACACCATCTCTGCATTTAAAGTTAAACTTAAAACGTCTTTTTGATAAAGCCTATAGTTAGTTCTGGATCAGGTGAGTCCTGAACCATCACTTAGTTATGCTGCTATAGGTCTAGACTGCTGGGGGAACTCCCATCATGCACTGAGCACCTCTCCACTTCTCTCAGTCTCTCTGTCCCCTCACATTCATCCATTTCTTTATTTTAATACACGTCAACTACTATTTCACTTTGTACTCCCATTGTCTCTCTCTCTCTTTTTCTCTCTCATTTCAGATATATCTCTGACGCCAGAACCTCTGGACAACAACTTTTACTAATTACAATATCGCAGTAATTAATTATGATACCAATTGTGCCTGTTATCAATAATAATTAATAGTCTTTACACTGTTGTTTACATTTTAACTCGTCAGATCTGATACCTGATGGCGCTCAAGTGTCCCGGGTCTTTCTGGCCCCCCCTCTCCTCTACTTCCCCCTCCCCACTATCCCTCTCTCTTCTCTCCCCTCTTTTCCACCCATCTCTCCTCCCCCCGTTTTCTTTGCTCACCCCAACCGGTCGAGGCAGATGACCGCCCACATTGAGCCTGGTTTTGCTCGAGGTTTCCTGTTAATTCCTCTCCACAGTCGCCAAAGTGCTGCTCATTGTGGGAACTGTTGGCTTTCTCTATATTTTGATTTTAAGGTCCTGTAAAGTGCCTTGAGATAATGCATATTATGATTTGGCGTTATAGAAATAAAATTGAATTGAATATATTTTTTAAACGTGTGTACTTATATCATCCAAAATGTTTTCAACAATGTTCAAACCCAGAGAAATCCTCATCTTTAGTCCATGTAACAGGAAGTTGCATTTTGGTCGCCCTTTATTTGTGTTGTATCTGCTTTACCCTTGGCTTTGCTCGTCTGTACTAAAACGTCCAAGTCAAATAAAGTATGACGAAGCAGAAACACACTACTAGCCAGTCGACCGTATTTTCCTTCCGCTAGATCAAAATGATTCATTGCTGTTTGCATAACACTTTAATACATGACCTTATCTGTGAACTTTTTTTGTCTCTGAGTCAGGCCAGGTTGATTTTCATGCACAATTGTGGTTAAGATAACAACTCCCATGGTCCCATGCTGCTTTATGATCTCATCAAATGAGGACTTTTGTTATTGTTTTGATTGAGAGACCCCTAGTGGCCGAAGTTACATATTGAAGTTAAAATTGAATTGAATGTTTAATTCTAATGATGTACGTTTATTACATATATTTTTCTATGTATCCCTCTTTTATATGCACTATAATCAATAATTGTAAAACATAGCATGCTCTCAGTGTCTCTCCTTGTCTAATTAATAATTATATCACACTGTTCCATGTGTGTAGCCCACTCAGGTCCCCAGCCCTCCAGCGTACCCAAAGTTTGAAGAAGAAAAGTCGAAGCTCCCCAACTTGCAGGATGTGGACCACCTGGTTCTGACGGTGCTGGAGGTCCAGAACATTCGACAGAAAATGCACCAGCTGCAAGAAGAGCTCAACTGGGAGAGACAGAACTTTGAGGGTTTACAAGGTGACACACACACACACACACACACACACAATTAGAGACTTTCTTCAGAAATGCCTTTCTTCATGTTCATATTCATAAAATACTAAAAACAGACGATATAGACTGAAAATGGAATAAGACTATTTTAGTTCCTCTTTCATAAAACAAAAGTCACTTTCTATATTAACAGTTTCAGTTTAGTGTTTTTTCAACTCATTTTTAGTTTTTATATTTATTGATTTGTTAATTGTTCAGTATTTTGTAAATATATGTCAGTTAAAAATTAGCTCAGTTTGGGGAAAGAAAGTCTACTCTGAACTCTTCAGCTGAAATTATTATTTGATTCATTGTCTGACAAATAAAATCACACCACAACCATTTTGTTAAGTGATCAACAATTCACTTTTTTCATTTTTTTCCTGCAAACTGTGATATGAAGTTTAATCAGTGGTGAAAATAATAGTTGCAGCCTTATTCAGTTTTATTTAAAAAAATTACGTGTGATACGTTAGTATTTGCATGCAGGAAATTGATATGTAGGTTTAAATGTCAGAATGCTAGTTGTAGTTTATCAATGGACTTTACTGTTAAAAGTTGACGTATACATCTTTGAGTTTTTGGTATAGGAAACGCTTTATCACAAAATGACACGTCAGAGGTTTGACATGTAAATATAAAACAGTGAGGGGTGAAGAATGGAGCCCTAAGGTGCTCCTGACTTACAACTCTTCAAAGCAGGAAAACCACTGGTGAAATCAAAGTCAAAAATGGCTGCATACAATTTTGTTGAGTTACTTCCTGGTATTGTGCATGCTCACTCACTGACCTGTCTTACCGGAAGACTTTGTGGAGCAGAGCCATTGTTGATGTTAAAATCTATGTTTACTCTTATTGTTCCAAATGTTAATGTAATTTACTACTGTTCTTTTCCTGCTTTCACAATGGTCAATGGCCTCAAGTTCTGCTTTCATATAGGATCATTAATTAGTCCAAGTATGAGGTGGCCACTCATTTTTATATGAGAGAAATAAATCTGATCAGTGTTGCAAAGAGCAGCTACTGGAGCTAATACAACTACTACAGCCGTTACACACACTTTCCTCTACTCTGTCATTTCCATATTATGCTTTAAATGTGACTTCAATGCTAATTTGTTGAATACTGCTCCACTAGAAATGCCCTGCTCTTCGTACATGCTGTTATGGATAGTATGATGAAATTTGCATTTCAGTCTTTTTCAGTGTGACATGGGCTAAAAATATATCACAAAAACTACTCGACAAGTGACCATGAAACTTAGTGGGAGGATGTGTGAATTTTGTTTCAGATCCAGATCAGGAGGCTGAGATTTTTTTTTTTCTTTCTTTATCATCGCTAAATAAAGCGTTTTTCAATATATTCTTTGATTTCTCAGAGAACAATTCATGGATCTACTTAAAAAATCTGATGTGTTTAGGGGACTGATGTGAAATTGGGTGCAGATTCAAATAAAAATCAGAATCTAATGAATTTAAAAGTGGTTTCATAAGGAGTTCCTGAGGCCTGACTGGGCCTTTATTTTATTTTTTTTAGAAGTACACTGACTGTAGTACTTGGCATTCCAGCTGTACATAAAGTGAATATATTTAGCCAAGCTTTTTCTGTGTCTTTGTTAACCTGGCATGTTCACATGTTGTTCATTCTAATTTGTTTTTACCACACAGGACCTTTGTAAGTTAGTGGTAAAAATGGGGTATTTTAAACCATTTCTTATTAGAAAGTTTTCTCCATCCACATGCATTGTACAAAGGACTCAAAATATGATTTTATTTGTACAGGGTCAATCCAGCAGAATGGACTGGATGCCAAAAAGTCTGAAATTCAGAACCACATCCAGCAGTTGGAGTACAATGTGAATGCAATGGCCACGGTGAGCTGGACACTTATTTATGTTGTCAGTGTCAACATTACTAGCCTGAAGGGAAATTTTTATTTACAACCACAGGAAATTAAAGTTGTGTCATACTGTATCAAAACAGTGTAGACAAATTAGCTCAGTAGAGTGCTGCTCTAAGATCAGAACTTGACATTTGTAGTCGTCTAATTATCGTACTACTGAAGTATAGTCTCTCACCATCACCATTATACACGCAATTTCAGAAGGGTACAAATTATAGTTTGAACTTTAGACTTTAATGCAGGTACAGTACATAATATTTCTGTTTTTGTGTGCGTGATGGTTATTGACATTCACATTCATGCACGTTTGCCCACATGTGTCAGTTTAATGTTTTTGGATACTGGTTGCTGTAGAAGCGCTTTCAGCTGCTGAAGGAGAGCGTGGACTATCTGGACCGGTGTCAGCTCCGACTGCTCACCAGGCTGAAGGCGTGGAGGTGGGAGCAGTGCAAGGCTGCCATCGGACATCCCTTTGACGAAAACCTCAACCCCCTGCAGACCTGGTGAGGTGCACCCCTCTCATTCCCTTTTGGATTGAGCTCTGTGTTACATGACCTTTATCCTATCCAAGTAAAACCACACCCCTAATCAAACATGGAATAAATCAATAAGCCTCAAATGTTCCAATGTTTATTGCAGCATTAGAACATAGTTTGTGTTTGGCGTCTAGACTCGGACTCAATCACTCCCCTGATATGATTACACAGATGGGAGTGATGAGCAAATACTTGTAAACCCTCCCCCGGAGGCTACAGGTGCCTGCTACTGGTAAAGCTATTGCAGCAGCAGTGCGAGCAAAGGGGTTGATGGGAAATTTCTCTATGCTTAAATAGGCTGCCTAATTAGGTGGGTGTGTATAATAGATGATTGTGGAGAATGAGGTATGTCACATGATTGGAGCAGCGCAGCTCGAGCTGGCTGCCTGAACTAGCTCGCAGGGTTCGCTTATATATGCAAATCAAAAGAGTAAAATAAAGTGACATCATAATATTTTGCTGAAGTACTCGTCTGGCCAGTATTTATGTCGTATCTCAGAAACAGAATGAGAGATAGTGAGAATATTTCACATTAGGTCAGTTACTATAGTAACTTATTATTCTTAGTTGGCTTCTGTATTTTTTGTCTAGTATTTGTCTTTATATATTTTTACTTATGACCTATTTTTCTGTTAGGTGTGAGCAGCTGCTTGGAGTGAACGGGAACCTGAGACAGGAGTTGATGTTGATAGTGGAACCGATCCCTGAGCTCCAGGATCGACTGAGGCAACTTCTTCAGGTTCTGATTCAAAGGTAGCACAGTCACATTAGTTCACTGTCTGTATGTTTTCCAAAATCTGAGTAAATTCATTTAAGACTGACATTTTAAACATGCCTCCCTCACTCATGATGTATCCTGCAGCTCTCTTATAGTGGACAAGCAGCCCCCACAGGTCATTAAGACTCAGTCAAAGTTTTCCACCACTGTGCGATATCTGCTGGGGGACAAAGTGGCTCCTGGGAAGCCTGTGGTGCTGAAGGCGCAAATCATTAATGAACAGCAGGCCAGGAACCTGAGCAGTGTCCCTGGGTGAGTCTAACAAGGTTTTTTCACCTTTGTGGAACAAAGGAATACATTTATTTTAACTTGTTCTGTTAACTTCTTAAAGATTTGATTTGTCATTAAAACCTTTATTGACACCATTAGTACTATCTACTAGGTCATTAAAGCTCCATTATCCTACAGCATAATGACCTTTACCAATGAGGTAATATTTGTTTTTGGGTTTATTCGTAAACCAGAATACACAAACATTAAAAATCATATTTCTGACAAACTTGGGCTGTCGTAAAAGGCCCTTACATTTTGGTGCAGAGGCAGATTGAGGTGGAGATCCAAGAATTTTCTCATTCTTGGATGTTTTAAGACAAATAAATCCAAGGAGTTAGCTGATCCAGATTATTTTCCAGCATTTCTCCTTTTAAAATTTGGGCCGACAAAGGATTTCTGTTTTATCTCATTGAGCTTTAGGAAATTATTAGTCATCCTTGTATGTATTGCTGAAAGACAGTAAGTGATGGAGCACAGAGCGTTATCATCATTCGGCCCAGCAGCTGTGTACAGTTGTATATCATCTGCATAACTATGGAAACAAACATTGCACTTTCTGATGATGTCACCAAGTGTCAGCATGTACAGTGAGAATCATGGGTCCAAGGCTGCCCCCCTGTGCAACAGCTTTTTAGTTTGTCAGAAACGTGATCTCCAACTCTGTGCATGTCTGTATATATGACGTTAAAACTCACATTGAAGCTTTGTTATGTTGCAGTGATAATGTCGGGGAGCTCATCAACAACACGGCCATCCTAGAACACAACACAGCCAGCACGTGTGCCACCTTTAGGAATATGGTATGTACTGATCGAGATTTATCAACTGAGATGTAATTATTGTTTTGTCTCGTTAGAAAATGTAAACTCTTATTTTGGTTCAATAGTCCATCAAGAAGATCAAGAGGGCCGACAGAAAGGGATCAGAGTCTGTGACAGAGGAGAAGTTTGCTCTCCTGTTCTCCACAGAGATCACCATCACAGGCTGTGACACTCCCTACAGGATACAGGTGTGTATGGAACCCAGTTTCATCAGATTTTCCCTCATTCGTCAGCTCACAAGCTTCATTTAACAGTCACAACAGTGATAAACTGATTTTAAAACTATGTGGTCATGTACAGAAGATTCCACATGTTGCAGCTGTAAAATATTATTTCAATTGTATGTGATTTATGTCTCCTTAGTTTGATCATTAAAATGTATTATGTCATTGATTCTAGATGATCTCGCTGCCGGTGGTCGTCATTGTCCATGGAAGTCAAGACAACAACGCTCTGGCCACCATCATTTGGGACTGTGCTTTTTCTGAAACAGTAAGTGTCACAGTAGTGATTTCTTTTCATGCTAAAGTCTATGCTGCCAGGGATTGGGACACCCAGACATCCAACCCGGCTGGCTGTCTGCGCAGGTAGTCAGCCTGTCCTTGCTCCATGTATTTCCTTGCTCTGCCCAACCAGACCTTAGGATCAATATGTCCTCTGACGGGAAGGCAGAGTCTGAAGACACGGGGAATATCCCTGGCAAGACACCAAGGGCAGATGAGATTCATGCTTTGATTTTGGTGGCTCTAAACATTGTGGGGCTGTTTAGTCTGAGACACCTGTTCAATGTCTCGTGGATGTTTGGGACAGTGACTGAGGACTGGTTTTTCCCAAGGCTGTGCTCAAAGGGAAAGTCTATGCCGAGTCAAAATGTCTGTTGTGAAAAAGGTTTGTTGGTTTTCTATGAAGGTGATATCACTACAGTATTATCACTGTGCGAAGGTGACAGTCATGTTTACCTGAATTTGCACAAAACTATTTAGCATGTTAATAATAATGCGATTTTTAAACATGAAAACATCTTTAAACTTTACAGCTTCACAGTGTCAAACTGAGCGACACCCACTGACTTTAGATATAGACCATAGACAAGCTCTGTGAGTTTACTGTGGTGCTCTCTGCTGTGCTGACTGGAAATAAAAAAAAAGATTTTTTTTAAAAGCCTCGACCTCAAAACAAAATGAACAATGCCTACAATAAACATTTGCGATGACAGTGTGACATTTTAAATACATACATTCTTCTCGCCGTGTGTCTTTGTCATCAGGACAGAGTGCCGTTCGTCGTGCCGGAGCGCGTGCCCTGGAGGATGATGTACAGCACTCTCAACAGTAAATTCACCTCTGAGGTCCAGACGCAGCACAACCTGGACCACTACAACCAGCACTTCTTGGCGCAGAAGATATTTGACAAGCCCGACTTTGCTGACGACTTCAGCAACATGATGGTTTCCTGGGCCCAGTTTAATAAGGTGTGCTCGAGTGTATGTCATTTATGAACAGACATTCACAGGCTGACATATTCACTCATATCTCACTGTGGCTTTGAATCCTACAGGAGGTTCTCCCGGGTCGACCTTTCACTTTCTGGCAGTGGTTTGAGGGAGTAATGGAACTGACCAAGAAGCACCTGAAGACCTACTGGAGCGAAGGGTGAGGAGACTCCACAGCTATTGAAATTGTTCAAATTAGCAGCCTGCTACAAAATTAATAATGACAAGTGTTTGCAATGTTTGGCTCCATCAGGCTGATATTTGGTTTCATTGGGAAGCAGCATCTACACCTGATTCTCAAAGACAGGCCCAACGGGACGTTCCTTCTTCGGTTCAGTGACTCTGAGATCGGAGGCATCACCATTGCTTATGTGTCTGCTAATGAGCGTAAGTGTTGGAGGGGCAACAGTTATCTTCAAACATTTAAAATACATTTGGAAATAACAAAGTAATAATAACTCTCAGACTTCTCTCATGCACTGACATATCATATGTTTCTTTCTCCAAGATGGGGGCCAGATAATCCAGAATATTCAGCCCTTCACCAAGAGAGACCTTGAGATCCTCAGCCTTGGCGACCGTATCCGGGACATCAGTCACATAACTTACCTGTATCCTGAATTCCCTAAACATGAAGTTTTCAAAAAATTCTACTCTGGTAATGTTCTTCATCAAAAGATTATATCAGTTTTTAGTTTTATGCTTCTAATTTCAAGTAAGGACAGGCAACTAACAGATGGAGGGCTTTTGTTATCTGCTCTTGTTTATACAGAGCCTCAAACATCACCCAATGGAGGTTACATCCCTGTGTCACTGCATACTAAAGTCGGCATGTAAGGAAGATTTTTTTATTACAAATAAACTGTGTCATCTGATGCACTTACAGTCATTTTGAGATTGATGGTAAAGATTTTAAACATGTTTTGATGTGTGCAGGGAAGCTGGCTCTGCGTTGCCTTCTCCTCACATTGTGAAACAAATGACCGAAAACCCCCACAGCTCTGTTAGCTTCCCTGTGTAAGTGTCACACCTACACTTTTCTCTTTCTCTATTTATTTCCGAACCATTATTCCCCTGTGCTGTCCTTCACCAGCTACTGACCACTCCTCTACCACTGAGACTGTGTCTGTCTGCACGTTTACTTTTGTCCCACCCAGGACGCCCCCATGGAACCTTTGAGATAATCAGTAAAACGTTTTAAAAGTTGTGAATTTGAGAAGATCTTTGCCTCTAAATATAATGCATCACCAGCGTCTTTTATTCATGACAAAATGTACATGTTTAATGGTAACAGTCCCTGGACTTCCTTTCAGGCATCAGTTTCAGCAGGCGTTCAGCCCACAGGGCTCCATCACTCAAGACATCATGGACACAGCATCTAATTCTGATGTGGATTTCAGCTCAAACCCTCCTGTTGTCTTCTCAGAGGACATGTAGGTGTTTTATCTTCATACCAGTGCACAAATTCAGAAATTGTTTCACTCAATGTTGAAAGACCATTAAGTGTATGTGTCTGTTGTCCAGTGCCCCAGGTAACAACATGGACCTGGATTTGGACAGTATTCTCCAGACACTGAATGAATAAGATGTCCCATCCAAACAATTTTGGGAAGGCAAAGCGGACGTCAGAGACCCAAGACAAACCTGTCTGAACTTATATATCGTCATATAAGTGTCGTTTGTGCAGACATTCTTCCTTCAATGTCATTTTCCATCTACGTCTCATCTGCTTCTTTATAGAGACAAATTTAATGTCTCTGGGGTTCGATATATTTATTGAGCTGGAGGAAGCATGGAATCGTTTTGTGGGAAAAGTAAAACTGAGAACAAACCAGAATGAAAAACGTTGTCATCGATGTCTGCTGGCCATCTGTGCTTTGTTTTGCACTTTAAAAAACTTTTTTCTCTGATGCTGGGTTTGTGGATGCTAATTTCTTTTTACATTTGCGTGAATTTAGGAAAATAAGTGGATTACTGTACAGAGTACAGTGCTTTTAAAACAGTGACTAATTCTATGTGATAGCTTACAGCGTGATGCTAATGGAAAGAGAAAGGTGTTTGTTGCATATTTGAATGTAAGCCTTACTGTATATAACTCTCCTTGTGATTGGTAAGCTTTGAGACACCTCTACTACAGTATGTCATTCACTCAGTCAGTCAGTTAGACAATGATGAACATTATGCATGGTTAATACTTCATAAGTCAGCTATGGTTCAATACTTGTATGTAGCTCTAACCTGTTCTTTGGTATAGTGAGGATCAGACACATCAAGTGAACATTAAGCGTTTCACTGAAATTTACAATAAAGGTGATGATAATGGTGGCAGGTAACAGTTATTTCATATTAGGGATAATAATGTATCAACTACCAGTCACTGAGAACTTCACAATATTACATATTGCATGCTTTATTCTATTTTTGTTATTTTTTGCTTTCTGTGATGCAAGTCTGTGCCCTCAGTCTTTAGAGTGATAAAACTGTGAAACTCAATGAAATGAGGTTGTGCTGTTTATTGCTTTCCTCTGTTTTGCATTGTTTGAGCTCTCTCATTTTAAAATGTCAAAATTGCTGCAAGGCACTGGAGTTAATTTGAAAGTTTGCAATATTGTTCTGACAACAGATGCATTCCTTTTCATCATCACTCTAAGTTTAATTGTTTTCAGTATGTAGCATCTTTTATTCACAACTAAATGTATCATCTAAACCAGACCTCCCCTACAAATATATTTTTGGGTTCAATCAGAAGCTTTTTACTAAACCTGACATCACATTCAATGCTGGTCATGTGATACACAGTGTATTGACATATATGTAAAATATAGTGTGTTGGATGTAACATGTAGCATGCTTATTCACTGGATGGTAACCATTTATATTCATGTGGATTGTCTTTCGGGTAAATTAAGCCAAGGTTAATACTAAGTTTATTTGTTCTTATTACTATGGTGATAAGTTCAAATCTTTTTTATATACAAATATTTTTTGTGAATTTACAAAAGATAGATATTAGTTCTCCCTCGTCACAGCTATTTGTGGCACTGTACATGGAGTGTATCCTATTTGAGTGATTGAAAATTGATCTCATCTGATTGCTAAATGTTTTTTGTGAGGGGTTACTGGGTTATGTCCTGTAGTTTAAAATGTCATAAATGTGTATCTAGTATCAGCTTCTTTGTTATATACAAAAGTATGAAAACATCTATTTAAACTCAATATTTTTCTACAATGAGTCTAAAAGAAAAAACAGACAAAAGGAGATTGAAAACATAAGAATTTTTTGATTTTTTTTGACATATAAAAATAATAAATCAGTGGCATAGAGATTGGGAAGCGCCTGGTACCATAAAGGCTGTTCATTGGATGAAAACATATCGGTGTATACATTATTGGCATCACTTCCATAATCCATCAGCCAAAGAGGAGACATTGCATAACTATGATATTATATTTCCTATCCATCCGGTTTCAACAATCAAGAAATGTGTTGTTTTAAAAAAAAAAAGAAAACTTTACACTGTACATCACAAAGCTTTTCCATTAGAACACAAATCTAATTTCAACATGCCACTAAATTCTACTCAACCACTGCCAGGGAAATCACACTGAAAAAAAAGTTATGTAGAGGAAGCAGAAAGAGAATCAGCTTAAGAGTCTGGTTCAATGACTGCTCTAGTGACATTTTGTCAAAATGCTCACTTCTCTCAGTGCCCTGTCCCCTTCCCTCCACCCCAGCAGCTTTGGATGTCCCCTCATCGGAGCAGAACAAGACGGCTGCCTCATAAACAAAGGGAGGAGGTAGGGTGATTGAAGGAGGGATGGAGGAGAGAGGGGACGCCAGGGCCAGGGCAGAGCTTCAAAGTTCATGTGCTCTCATAGACCGTATGAAAATAAAGGTGTACATGTGTCACCCTGTACAAACACACTAAAGAGTTCAGTCGCCTCGCAGTGACCTTCTCTCTTCTCCCGAATATCAGAGAGGGGCTTGAAACTATATCACTCCTAAAGAGCCACCCAGCTCAGCGTCGAAAAGAGAAGGCACCAGGTGTTTGCTTAACACCAGCAAGAAGCCACCACACCTCATGCACTCTGTCATTTCTAACCTGGATGTTGATGTAACAGAGACGCCTCGGTTGTGTCAAACAACACAATTCAACTGGCAAACACGTGCTCGTCATGACAGCTTGTCAGGTTTGCTCTCTTTGTTTTCTTCCATGGCAGACACGCAAAAGTAAAAAGCAAACCAACTATCACACACCTGTACATGAATCTCGAAAGCTTCAAGGATAAAATCCTGTCAGAAGGTCATTTTTAAAATGTAGCCCAACACAAATACTGGATAAGTCGTCTCAATTTTGGTAAAAGCCTGATTTCTCACCTACAAAGCAATGGGCAACAGATTTGGTGGCGGTTAAACCATTTCAAGTTTTTGTAAATACCTTCATTGAAGACTGAGCTCAGGAAAGACCAGATGGTTTAGTTGTTATTTTAATATAAATATGAATGTGTGTGTTCTTCACTAGATGAGACACAAACTGTAAACTGAATGAATTTGGCTTTAAGATAAATCATCTGCGTCTGATATTATTATATATTAAGAGGATCTCTCTAAAATATCTGAATTAAACTTCTGCAGTATCAGTGAGGTTGTGGGAAAGGAAACATCTTTCCCTTAAATAACTTTGCATGATAAATCTAAAATAGTAGTGATAATAATAATAATAATCATTTTGATACAGACAAAGGATTGTGGCGATGAAAAGTGAAAAATAAATGATCCATTAAAACATGCACACAAGCATACACATGCACACAGACAAGCATGCACACTCACTCTGGTTTTCTCTCTCTCTCTCTCTCTCTCTCACACACACACACACACACACACATACAACTAAAAAAAAAGTGAGCCAAATAAATACTGGTAAAGTACAATACGTACATGTAATTTACCCAAAGTTCATGAAACAAAAGAAAACGATGGGGAGATCACACCGGATCAAAATGGAAAAGCATGCAGAAGTCCACTGCTCTACTGTAGCTTCACTCCTAGCAGACTACGAAAAAGAGAGGAAAAAAAGAGAGAGGAAGGGAGGGAAAGGAAGGATAGAGGGAGAAGCCCCTGTCCTGAGCAGTTACAGCCAGGAAGTGACTGACTGACCCACACCGCAGGGCACAGGGTGCTTCCTTCAGTGGCAAGTCTTCTTCTAACCCTCCATCTTTTGTCCTGCAGTCCAAGGTAGGAGGAGGAGGAGGAGGAGGAGGGGTGAATAGATGTGAAATCAGGAGAGAAGGTCAGGGCTGTGGGTGCCCCTTCGATGTGTGGGTGCACAATAAGGAGTTCGGGATACGTGTTAGCATGTGTGTAGGCGCTGAGGAGGTATGTGTGCAGAGACGCTTAACAGGCCGAGGATGGACCGGGAACTGAGGGTGAGGGTGAGATGTGATGGGTGAGGGATGTGTGGGGAGGGGTCAGAAAGCCGATCTTCTACTTGGGACTTATAGAGCTTGTGTCTTGAGCTCGATGGGCTCTCCCCTGGTCTCCTGCTGGCCCTCAGCCTCTGGGGGCCGGGTGCCCTTCAGTGTGGCAAGCCTCTCGGAGAGGCCTCGCATACGGGGGAACAGCATAAAGTCATACAGCAGGGCACCCATGGCTCCACCAATCATGGGACCCACCCAGTACACCTAGAAATGCAAGTACAGAATGTGTCAGGGATACCGAAAATGTCACATTACTATGGTTTGAAAGTGTTAAATGTGTAAAATATTTACAAATATGATCCTCTTACCCAGTGGTTGACAAAATTCCTAACCAGGACAGCGGGGGCGAAGGACCTTGCTGGGTTCATTCCTGCTCCAGTGTAGTACAGCTAAGTCAAAGACAGAGAGAGCAGTTCATGTGATGCAATTTTATGTTGGACCTAGAAAACTGTTGTACACTTCTAGACTCGAGGTTGTTTCTTACCCCGAGAAGATGCCCCATGAGCACAGAGAAGCCGATGGCGAGGGCAGCAGAGCCCAGACGTCCGTTGCGCCTCTCATCAGTCACAGCAAAGATGCAGACAACAAGCTGCAGGGTGAGGAAGACTTCCATGGTGGTGGCCATGCCCAGACTGATGCCTGGCTGCAGCTGAAGGATGAGAGGGGGTGAAGAAAGATTGATTAATACCATGATAGCAATTGCTGTATGTGTACATCTTAATGTGCCGTCCTAGACTCATACTGTAAATTAAAAATATCATGGAAAACTCATGACAACAGATTAGGAAGCACTCAGAGAGCATTCTGTTAAACTTACCGTGTTGAGTGCCAAGTTTCCCCTCATGTTGCTGGGTGTGACCCCATACAGCACGGCAGCACCAGCCATTGCTCCGAGACACTGGGCTATGATGTAGAAGAAGGCACGGAACAGGGACATCTGGGAGCCAATCAGGTAGGCAAAGGTAACGGCAGGGTTTATGTGACCGCCGCTGATGTGGCCAATGGACTGGATGAGGGTGGCAGCCGCCAGCCCAAAGCAAAAAGAAACATGGAGGACATTAAGCGGCCCGGTGGTCCAGCGGAGGGCTGCCCCCAGCCCAAAGAATACGAAGAACATGGTGCCATAGAACTCGGCAAACACCGCCCGCCAGAAAGACATTGATCTGAACTCCCACATGGTGTAAAAAGGTCAAAAAGCAACCTCTGAGCGATGGAGGGATGAGAAGTCAAAAGATGAGCAGACGATCAACTGAAAGGAGATGCCTCTCATGCACAAAAAAGACTGTTGGAGACCAAAGAACACAAATCAAATGACAAAAAATCGCCCTCAAACAGAAACCGCGTCTCTAAAGCTAAAATGCAATAACACGTAAACTGCTCAACATGCAACTGTCATGTCACTGAATTCTGATTTCTGTCATAGAGAGCTCCTGAGTGGAGCAGCACGCCAGTCTCTGTGCATCTATGTGCCAGCCCTGCTGGTTGTTAGTAGAAGAACATGGATAGACAAACGTTAAGCATGTCCTGCAGACATTCAGCCTCTTTACCAGAGCAGGGGAGCTCAGAGGTCTTTTTATAACACCCCAGGGCAGGAGTAGCCCCGCTGATCCCAGGGGAGGAGCCAGTGCACAATACTACAAATCAAAAACAAAATCAGTTAACCCTTCTCCCGACCTGACCTCTGTCTGCTCACTCTGAATCCTGTTTAACAGGCTGCAATTTTTACATGGTTCAGAAATAATCAAAGCGGCGCTTGACAATTACTTAAACGCATTCACGTGATACAGCTCTAAAAATACTGCCCTTGCTTAGTTTAGAAGGTGCTTTTGAAATAAGGACTTGTGGAGATGTGGTTGGTTTAGTAATACAACATCTTCCATTCACACTGGGGGATTTCCAGCTTTTCAGGGGTTCAGCTTCACCTCTGGAGATGACTGGTGAATATCTAGTCCCTGAATGCAACAAACGGCCTGTTTGAAGTGCTAACACAAAAAAAGTTGTTGAAAATCCCCTTCATAACACGTCTGACTGAAAACTTCCCAGTGGACATGTGGTGGGCAACACCTGTGAGTTGTAGAAGTGGAAGTGCATTGGTAGTTTTCAGATATTGGTGCACACAAAGCATAAATATAATTACAACCTCAATCTTTAGCTTATTTTCCATCATCGTCCTCTCATTGTGTACAATCTAACATTCACTCTAATCGAAACTGTGATCGCCAAAGCACGAGCACTTTCTCTACTTGTGCTCTGGATTGGTACAAATTAGGTTTGTGGCGGCAGAACTGATTAGGCCAGACGTTTACATTGTGTGCAGTGGGTGGGTTTGGAGGCTCAGGTCGGATAAAGCGGTAGAAAATCCACGGTCGGGGAGGAAGAGGGGAGAGCAGGGTCGGGCATTGAGCTTCTTCACTGGAGCATCATGCTGACCAGGGCAGGCAGAGGGGCGGCTGCTGCACCTCTGAAAGGATCCTGCTGACCTCACTGCTTTTTCTCCTTTATGCATGGAAACAAAACGCTGGCAGCGACAGTTTCTGCTGGTTTCTATGATCTGTTTGTCTAGTTGCCACTGTTGAATCTCTGAGTTCCCTTTTCCTTGGTGCAGAGTAGCTCTGTGCACACACACACATACACACACACACACACATGCATATATATTTGGCCTCCGCAACGTAGATGATCCAGAGAATTACTCTGGAATAGCATTAGGAGAATTTAGCAAAGAATGTATGCAGTTTGGACGATGCTTTTCAAACATATATACAACAATGATAAGGCTGATGCACACCTTCAAAAGTACAGTGGACAGGTGGGTAGAAGAAAATGCACATGCAGGTGAGAGAAGAGGAATGCAGCACACTGTCGTATACTTGCAATGTACACGTAATAATGTTTTTTTGCAAGTACAGGACAGTGTGCAGGATTTCTCTTCTCACAGCAGCCTGACAATTGACTGTTTTTTCACCTGAGTTAGGGAAAACACGGTGAAAAGAATAAACTGCAGGACAGCAGTGGTTGTTACTAATGAAACTGCCCCCTTCTTCAAAAGATCAAGTTGATCTGATCCTGAACGTTTATTCGTCTGCCAGTTAATGCATCTCTTGTCACGAGTATTATGTCCTTCTCATGACTCCGGCCATCAGTGGTAAGCCAGCTTTTGTGTGTTTAAGCCCACAGTTTAGTTTTACAGGGGAGGGCGTTGAGAAGGTGCTTGCATTGTATTTTCTTTTCTGTTCCCTGGGTCCAGACTGCTGACTCCTACACAACATGCAGCTCCAAAACATTTCACAGTGCAGTAGAAGCTCACAATGGTGAAAACATGTTATTAAAGAACATGACTCATGTCTCATTTCAGGAAACTTTGAAACCCCAGATCATAAATATTTATTTCATCAATATAATCTATTGTTGTCATGACTTTGAATAATCTCTGGCTTTTACTGACTTGATAAGTTTCAATAGCAGATATTTCCCTTAACATACAGCAGGTGCCATGTTTTTGAAAGATTGCACAAGTTACAAAGAGAATTAACAGCAAAAAAGGACCATCAGTCTTCCATTTCCCTTTTTACGCTCAGTATAAAAGTGCAGAGAATATGGAAAACCCCTGAAATGCCAATGCGAAGTATTATCTGACCGTAGATTACAGAACTGTGAAGCTTTAGCACTACGCAGTGGTTACAGAGTGACATTTCACATCTGCTCAAGCTTAATGCAAAACTCACATGTTCAGCAGTTGATAATAATTAAGTAATTGTTCCTCCTTACTTGCCTCGAGGACATGCTGTTCTGTGGTTACAGATGAAGCACGGAATTCTTGTTTATCTGATTAGAGGCTTCAACTTGCTGATTCAAGTGGTGACTTGACTTATGTTATTCAAACTAATGAGACATCATATTGGATTGGTAAAGGTTTTCGTAGACATAGGAGTTGTTAAACTTTAACAACCAATATGTACATAGTGAATATTGTAACAAAAATATTTCAGTGTACATATGGGCAGGTCAGTGTACTGATTGTAATAATCATCCCTTCCTGAATGAATTGTCTTGTAGCTTACTTCTATCTTTTTGTTTTGGAAATTCACATACATGCATCTTTTACCTTGACATGATGGCTCTTGTACATATCGGTTTGTTGTCACTCATTGGTAGTCAAACCATTTTCTACCTGACAGTTTTGTATTATGTGAAATGTTATGTGGAGAGCTTTCTCCTCAACCTTCACTTTATATTATTTACGTCATCTTCTGTGTAAATTGTGCAGATACATTTTTGAAAAATGAAAAAGTGATGGGTCAGTACTTAAACCTTGTGTTCAACAATCTGAAGCAGTTTATTAGAAATGTATGCTCAAACTCCCACAGCATAAGACAAACTCAAGTGTTCAACACATGTTGAAACAAAGACATAAAAGCCTCAAAAGCTTAGTTCTAGTGTATGTGACATTTATATCCTGCACTATTTTAACTACTTGGGAAACTTTTTTTAACTACATAGGATTTCTGCCTTCAATGCAATATGCTTATGGAAGAAATTAACTTGTGATTCTGTGACAATGTGCAATCTGCAATGTTTGCTACACTGACAAGAGAAAAGCTCACCTTTACAAAGGTACTAAATGCAGTTTGAAACACTCTTCTATCATAATCTCAACACAAACTGTTGCACAAGCATATCTGTTTATTATTCTAAATGCTGAAATATGTTATTTGTTTAATATTTTCAGATCCTGACATACATTGGAGAATCCATTACAATTAAGCAGAACTCCAGTTTTGTTTTAAATTAACAAACATTGTAAGTGCAATTTACAATACAAACATTAAAGGGGAAAAATTCTGTCATTAAAAAAATCTACTTTTTTTGGAAAATAGGCATTTTGCGTTTTCTTTTCTTCATTAGAAATCACCATGATCAATACTTAACCTGACATCGCAAATAAAAAGAGGTGTAAGACATCAGCACATCCCATTACAGTCATTTAACTCAATGAACAATAACATTTTCATTTGAACAGAATTGTCCATGCAGAACAGCAAAGCACAGCACTGTATGTCACTACGGATCTCTGTGCATGTCTGTATCCAACAGTCACTCCTTGTCACTTGTTGAGCGACTTCGCTATGGAAACAGCGTAGAGAGATGAGGTTTCTTCTCCAACGTGGTTGCCAACTCGTGCCTAGTCTCTCTCCTCAACAGACTTACAACTTGCTTTGTTTACTACTGGCGTTGCTTTTGTATTCTTCTACTCAAGGTCGGGAATTTCTGGAACAGAGAGAAAATTAATTACTCGCTCTGTACCACTTAGCATTGTGTCAGTCTTCTTCTCACCATCTAGTGACAGCCAATTACTAATTGTTAGACAGCTAATTTGGAATAGTACTTACATTCATCGTCACCGTCTGGAGAATAATGCTGCAACAAAAAGCAAAAGTAACAATTACAATTCCTCCTAAACGTCTTAACCACATACATTTCACTTGATTAAAATTTCTTCAATCAGACACCACCACTCACTGTAATAAATAATATGAACCATATAAACACTTTATTATATGTCTTGACATTTTTTTTTACCTCATCTAAATCACATAGATCATCTCCTTCCATGCAGTTCATCATCTGGAGAAACACACAAGAGACATCAATCAGTTTATCAGGATTAAAGTACATGTGGACACACTCACACTTGAGGCACTGGGCATATTGAATGTGCTTACCTCTGAGAATTTGTCATATCTCGACATGTCCTCATCTGAGTCATCTTCCCAGTCTTTCCAGTTACTGAAATCCACACTCAGCCAGTTGCACTAAAAGATGATAGACTCAAATGATTCAACAAGGCGATATTTGTCATTTACTCACTTTACTCCAGCTGTCTTTTGAATGCTGATATTTACAGGGTGTACAGATAGGGGGCATAGTATTCTTAGAATTGTGTGCAACAAATCCAGACTGAAAGTTGACAAATGTCTGTGGACTGACAAGTCTTTCAGTGGCAGAAAGTTACCTTTGGCTTGTCTTTGGTGAGTCGTGGCCATGCTTTCCCACCCTCTGCTTTTCGTAAACAACACAACACAGACCTGCCAGTGCGTCTGTGTTTGGATCCCTGAGGGAAACAGAAAGTTTGATGAAGGTTTTAAAACAGATCCAACACATGGCAGAGCTACAACTATGACTAGAGATAGAAAACATACTTTGGGGTCGATCTCTGCGAAGAGGTCCAATGTATTTTGGTGCTTGATGTTATCTGCTCCACTGACACAGCTGTAAGACCAAACGAAAAGGGAGCCAGATATTTCACTGTCGACTGCCAACAACAACTGACAACCATTACATCACATGTGTTTTCACAGTTCTGTTCACAGTATATACCACAGACCAGGGCTAAAAAGCTTCTTAACCTCCTAAACCTAAAAATGTTTTTCATTAGATTTTAGTCAAATGTCTTCCTGTTACGTGGGTATGCTACATGTATATGTGGCTACATGTTTAGCATGCCACACAATGGTGTCGGAAATCTGAGGCCACTATCGGGCTGTCTCCATTCAAAAACAGATCTTGTTTTTTGTTACTAGATTTTGATGCTTGAAATAATTCTGAGACACTGATCCTTGGTCAGTTAATGTGTAATTAATGCAACTTACCAAAAATCAATTTTTGACTTGTCGAACTGTACATGCACATCTTTACTGTCCTCCACGCAGAACTCTACAAAAACACAGTCCGGTCTGTCATACCACTTAGCTGGTGCAGGCTGCCTGATGACAAAGAGGAGAATGAGGGGATAAGTAACATGGGGACAATCTTACATCATCCATGATTCAGTCTAATCTGACAGAGCAGGGGTGTTATTGTTGGGTGAATTAGCAGGGGGTGGTTATTCTGCCTCAGTGATCCACGTTCACAGGGTGCAGTACATCTCAGGTCACGCTTGAAGCACGATGATGGACGCTTCACTCATTCATTCAAGAGCACCCAGCATTGTTGGACCTAAAAACTATTACTGTTGTGTGAGAAACACACTTAGAAAGATGCGCCCTCATCAAAATGATGGACCGTCCAATATTACATTACAGATTGTACACACACACCACAGCAACAATTAGATCACTGCAATCAGAGGGAGCAGGACGACGCTACACCCAGTGAGATATATATAGTTCTATAGATGTGAGCCATGGTTTGGAGATATGCATTCATTCATGGTGGGATAAGGACAGCTTGTGTTGGAAGACATGTTCTCATTAATGAGCACGCTTAAGTACAAACGAATGCTAACGCAAGCTTTCGTTTTCCCGGCTAATCGTGACACCATGCTTTTCCAGTGCTAGCAGTACCCTCGTCTTGTAGGTTGGCATTAGCCTGCTAGCCACCGTTACCTCAGCTTGCATACGTTACGTAAACCAAACGGAGGACGAGTGTATCGATGTGTGCCGGTGACAGTCTGCAACGTGCTTGAGGAAATGTAGCTGTGGGGAATTTAGTTGTGCATTTTTAGTCCCGGCACACGCCGAGGCTAACTCGTGTGCTAGCTCAGCTGGCTAACGTTAGCAGGCAGATCCACTACACTGCAGCAAAAACTCCTAGCTAGTTAGCAACGACAGTTAGCGACCAGGCAGTAAACACTTACATCTTCACTGTTTCGGGAATGAAAGTCTCTCTTCAGTCCACGATAAAAAAAAACCCCCACAGCGTTAGCAAGCTGCAGCTAAAAGATCAGAGAGATCGTGTTAGTGGAGTTAGCTCACTGACGTTTACACCGACACATGTATCGCGTATTTTCGTCGTTCTCCAGTGACGTGAAGTATCTTCACCCGCATGCGTGAGGCGCGACCACGAGAGAGAGAGAGAGAGAGAGAGAGAGAGAGAGAGAGAGAGCATCAGAGGCAGAGTTGACCTCCCATCACTGAGACCAGGCAAGTTTCTTTAAACAGCACCGTTCAACAAGGCAGGGTGCTTCACGTGGATTATTATTATTATTAGAAGAGGAAATAGATCCAATAAGAAATGAAAGAGGGAAAGTTTCAGTGCAGTGTAAGACATTTGTAATAACTCGATTGTACCATGTTCATCACCAACAGTACGACACACGCTGTTAAAGGAGGAATAAAGTGAAGAAGAGAACACTGGTCCCAGGTTTACTACACACCATCTGGGTCTAGATACTTCCATTAATCACACAGATGAATTTTGAGACTTTCTTATATCATGTATTATATATAGTTCTTATAATATAATTAGTCCTTAGTGCCACTGGAGTACATCTACTATATTCACCATTCTCCGGACTTGTAGTCAAAAATATAGTTTTAAGATCATAACTAGTTTATAACTATCACAAGTGGAAATGAACTAAGGCATAAATAACACTAAGGAAAATGTAGTTCAGGTCCATTTGGTGGAATAATTTACAGGAGGTCAGCAATTAAAGCTGTAGAATAATACTAATTTAGTTACAAAACAACTAGATAAAATCAAATCAAGTCAATTGAAAACAAAGCCGTCGAACATAAAATACCAAGGGATAAAGTGAACATTACTGGCCTAATCTCAGATTTGTTGTGATACAACCCAGCAACATATTTGATATTCCATATTTTCCTATTTAAGAAGGGATTTAAAATGCAACGTGTCTTATGCTCCACAATCAAGAGGCTCGAACAGCAAAGGCCACTTATTGTATTGTCTTGTCAAATTCCTTCTTTTTACTGAGTCAAGTATTAAATGTACTGAGAGCCTTTAGGACTAGGTAGTATGCCTATTATTTCATCACAGGAGTAGTATAAGACTGATACCACCAAGGATTTTCATTCAATACATCCAACAATTATTTAATTTTAATAACTCTTTCATTGACTTTAGTGTATAAAATGTCCTACAATTGTGAAAAGCTCTTATAATTCTTGGAATCCCTTAATTTCCCCTTTCTCTGAAATCCAGTTTTAGTCTGACCAGATGTGATAAATATAATAAAACAATAATATAACTGCATGTGTTTTCCATGTGGAAAATGAGTGGTGACTTTACAGGAAAACATGGAGGCTCCAGCTGACGTCACTGTGGGAGCAGCTTCAAGCTGTTGGACTGTACCACTGCGTGCATCACCACTGTGAGGCAGCGAGTGAGAAAATGGAAAGAGTAGCCTCATCTGCTCAGTGGGAATGAGCCACAAATAACACAGGTGCTGGCTTAGGTAGAATAACAATCTTCTACATGAGCGGTGGTGTGAAAAAGAAAGTGAAAACATATCCTGACAAAAGCTCGGTGCAGAGAAGAGATGGATATACTGCAGGTTACTGGTGACAAATAACCTGTCTCTGTTTCCAACTTTGATCACGTTGTGCTGGACATTTGTCTTTTCAAGAACAAGAGAAATGATATGCAGCAGATGCCGGGCTGGAGAAGTTCATAAAGGGCTCTTTTTATTGATTGAGAGCTGTGGTTAAAGTTTACAGTATAACTGCCCAGCCTTTAATCAATTTTTATGAGAAGGGGAAATCGTGTCTGGTAGAGAGAAAAAATATTTTTTAGGTATAACATTCTGCAGCAAGGTCCAGGTCCATTCCCTCATAAGGCCTGTTTAGTGTCAGCTGTGGATATTATAGACCCTCTGAAAAGCAAACCAAAGTAGCAGCACCAGTCTGTAAACCTAGTTTCAACAGTTTTTATTCGTATGTTTATTTGACAGTTTGCAGGATTACACAAAAACTACTCAACCAATTTCAATGAGGTTTTGCCGTGCGGTGGCGCATGACCCAAGAAGAACCCAGTAAATGTTTATGTGAATCTGCATCAGGGGACAGATTTTCTTGATGAAAAAAACAGACATGTTAAGGGGACAGATGTTCTCTGTGTGTGCAATTTGGTGCAAGTTCAGGTAAAAATCCAGATCTAGTGAATATACAAGAGGTTTTATAAAGGGACTGTGCAGAGGAGGCATGCACTCCACTGGCTGCTATTTTACTTGGGCTAATATCTTCCTGCAATCCATTTAACATTGAAAAACTTGTATGGTATTCACCTTATAACGCTTCCATGATTGTAATGATGCTACTTATAGAGTTGGTCAAGTCTGGTTGTGCAAAGAGGATCAGTTTCACATAGCTTCAAATGACTTAACTGTAAACAAAAATCAATGACTGGAGGAAATTTCTTTCTTAAACATTGAACCATGAGGCAATACACATTATGTGTGTTTATACTGTGCAGATGTGAGAGGGTTTGTTCACGTGATCACTACTGTTGTAAACTGTTAGTAATCTGACATATTTAACTTTTCAAACAGAAAAAGATCAGCCTTCTAGGATCAATTACTAATTGATTCATTACTAACAAATAATACATTTTTTGATCGGTAAACAAGAACAGCTGCTCTGGTTTTGCTGTACACTCCATTGTTCCAGCCTTGTATTAAAAACACATTTAAATTACAAGATAGATTTTTACATTATTATTTGAATACTAAAACGTTTTACTCGATAACTTTTAATAATGTGACATCTTTCCTTTAAATAGCAGAGAAACAAGGCTGTGATGATGCAGCCAGACACAAATCCTGGAGCAGCTCCACATGCAATGAATAATGGGAAAAAAACCCTTGGAAACTACAATCACAGCCATAGGAGCTTTACAAGGATATGACTTCATATTCTGATTCACAGCTGGATGTCCTACACTCATGTAAAACTAATCTGACACAAGATCTGGGGAAAAAAGAGAACAGTCAGCGAGCCCACAGTCAGTCACTGATGTAAGTGTTATGATTGGTAACCCATCAGAGAAGCTGATATTAATCAGGCTTAGGAAATTCTTTAAGTTTTTGTAATAATCCATGTATCAACGTTGAGATACAGTGCGTCAGTTTGATCGTATAGTATATTGCACCAGTTTGTTTATGGATCTGTTTTAGACAAAGGAAATGTCTTCCATTTTGTGATGTGCAGCAACTGTCACATGTTTGAGTAAAACCCAGGTGCCCTATAGTGAAAAGCAGCAGGGTGGAGACTGTGTTGTTCCTGTGTTGCCAGTATTTTATTTGTACAGCCCATTAAGCCTTGTTAGCTGTCACCCTAGTTTTCTAGTAGATTTGTTGGTTTTGTTTACTCACTTCAAATATCTGTGGGAAAAAGCAGTTGACAGTTGCCATTGATTAAATTATCTCCTGGGGCCATTTGCACAAACTGGTCTTCACAAAGCATGGTCCTCACTTCTAAGTTGGTCTTGAAAGAAAAAGAAATTGAGGAGTGCAATTATTGTCAATTACTTTTAGATCAGATGTTAAAATGTGATGAATGCAACTGTGTTATGCAGTCAACACTCATCAGACTTGAGAGCACTAAACAAACAACCTGGACTCCAATCACTGCAATTTATCAAGTACAGAAAGTAGCAGTTTGACTTGATAGTTGACTAATTGATCATTAAGAAATAAAAATAAGATGGCTGTGATATAGTAAGATACGATATTCCTTTATTAGTCCCACAACGGACAAGGCAGTAAAGAGGACAGTCAATAAAATAGACATCAGTAAAGTAAGGATAAATGTATCTGTCTAGTAAA